CTGGCTCAGCAGATAAGGTAAGCCTGACTGTTTCTCTTTAGTCAAGTTGAACATGCACTTTTCATTCAATAGTATGCCTTCATCTTGTTTTGTTGAAGCTTATACTTTCCTTAGTGTGTTCTCCCCTTCTACGGTAGGTTATGTGCTACTTGTTAGGAATAACTGGAAAGGGTTCACTTGTAAAGAATATCTTAATACGAGGTCACTGATATTAGATGTTACAGTACGGGGTTTCTTTAAATTTTGCCACCATATTTACTCTTTGATATGTTTCCAAGAATAGACTGGATAATAAAAAAGAAAAGGATTTGTTTGATTAAACAAGTGTTTTTATTGATTGTTTTGTCCCTTCAGTTCTAGCCTCTAGGTTCAGATCTGGTTAGTACTAGGATTTGGAAGTTCTTTATATGACAGAAAAAACTTTAGAGTCAAATACTGGATAATAAAAAAGAAAAGGATTAGTTTGATTAAACATGTGTTTTTATTGATTGTTTTTTCCCTTCAGTTCTAGCCTCTAGGCTCAGATCTGGTTAGTACTAGGATTTGGAAGTTCTTCATATGACAGAACAACTTTAGAGTCAAATGTTTTTGTCATTTCAGATGGGTTTGGCACCTCAGCTAAATAATAGAAAATATAAACATTAACACTGTTGTTGCGTAATGCACAGTTGCATGACTAGCCTCAGTGGCACTCTTCCGTTGATGTTTTACTTAACTGTGTAGTTGAGTTTTGCAGACAGTTCGTGTGTGGCAAAGTTCTGAAAATGGGAACTATGACTGTAGGCATGTCTTGAAGGATCATACGGCAGAGGTAATTTCATATTAGCATCTCATTGATCAATACTGAAAGTTCTGATATCAACTTACCTTCTTATTATCTAGGGACAAAATGCTGGTAATAGTCCTGCTTGATTGTACAAAACTTAATATTTTGGAAAACAAGCTAATAAGCTTTCCAGTGTTGATCCTTAATCTCGGTGCCCCTTTTAGTATTCCATCTTTTTGGGTATTTTGTTTCTAGGCTTAGATATGCGAATTGTGGAAGAGATCATTAAGAAGTGAAAGATGGAGATGGAACTCATATATTTGGACTACTGCTTTGCTGTACTAGAAAATTGTAGTTTTCTATATGTACTGTTATATAAATTATTAAGAGTGGATTATTTGTTCACGCAAAGTGCAAAAAATGAATTTGATCTGAAATTACTGGGGGAGTATTTCTGTTGTCCTTGGAGTTGTGTTTGCCTTGTGGTGAAATTCTTTCTTCTGTTCCCAGACTATCTTCATAGTGAGCTTCCACCTCTTGAATGAATACCTGCTAGTTTTTATTGATTTGTGCTATCACATTCTGCTTGAAGGAAAAGTAAAAAAAAAGAAGTAAAATACATTGTTGGGGAATAAGGGGGTGGTGGGATATTTCAAGTGGAAATCAATGTTTTGTTGTCCCTGCTATCTAATATAAGTCCTCCAGACCCGTGAAATTGCCGTCACCCTTCACATTTTTATGATGCTTCATTTTTAGGTTGTGACTTCTTCAACTGGATTTAGTGTACTTTCTAGCCATCTAATTAGATATATACATCTACCAATGATTACAGGTGCAAGCTGTCACCGTCCATGCGACCAATAACTATTTTGTGACTGCATCTCTTGATAGCACATGGTGCTTTTATGATCTTGCTTCTGGCTTATGCCTTACACAGGTTTCTTTTTTCTCTGGCCTCTCATTCTCAAGAAACAATGTAGAGTTGTCTAGAGTCGTCGACTTTTAAATTTATTGACTTATTAAAAAAGTTCAAATTATAATGCAGGTAGCAGATGCTTCAGAATCTGAGGGCTACACATCCGCAGCTTTCCACCCTGATGGTCTGATCCTTGGAACAGGGACCTCAGGGTCTCTGGTTAAGATATGGGATGTAAAAAGTCAGGTCTGTTTTGCCTCAAAGGTAGCAAATACTCATGTCATTCCTCTTCTTCATTCCAAGGAGTCTTACTGTGTTTGTGTGTGTGTCTCTGTGTTTTTCTGGTGCTTCTCTTCAGGCGAATGTTGCAAGATTTGATGGCCATGTTGGGTCTGTAACTGCTATTTCCTTTTCAGAAAATGGTTATTTCTTAGCAGTGAGTGTTCTAATACCGAACTTTTGATAATCCTCTTTTCATCAGCTTAAAGCGGTTTATGATTGAACTTGTGACCAATGTTTCCTTTCCGTATTAATCATCAGACTGCTGCTCATGATGGTGTTAAACTTTGGGATTTACGCAAATTGAAGAATTTCAGAAATTTCTCTCTTTATGATGAAAATACACCAACTCAATCAGGTATAACCTAACAGCATTCTACTGAAGAAAAAAAGTGAAGCCATGTTACAAATCAAAGAAGCTTTGGTAGTTCGTACACAAAGATATTTAGTGTTTGCATTGAGTATTTATTGAAGGCCAAGGATTTTGTTTCATGGATGAAGTACTGTATATTTAAGCATACTAGCTTAGGACACCGCTGTTTTTGATAAATTTCCTTTTTATAGTCTGGAAGCGTTCACATTAATGAGTTACAGTATGTTTTGAGTATGCTATCTCAGGTTTTATAGTCTGGTAGCTTTGTAAATCAAAAGTCTTCTTCAGAGCTTTTCATTTTTTACACTGCGTTGGCATACAGTTTACCGCACTGGCTCCTTTCAAGTAGTGTTATATCAAGTCTATCATACTTCCATCTTTCTCATGTTTTTAATTATTTATCATAAATTCATCTCCTATAACAATTTTATGCACATCTAAGATCATCTAACGTTGCTGCTTCTCCTTTTACTTGTAGTGCAATTTGACCATAGTGGAAGTTATCTTGCCTTAGGAGGCTCAGATATACGGTAAGACACCTGCACAAATATTGGGACTGGATAACTCTCTGATTCAATGTTCTCATTTTTTTTAACTAAAAAGTAATTCCTTTTTGAGTCTCCAAAGACTTTGGCATAGCTCAATGAAAGAAGTAGAAACCAAGACACTTGGTGGATTGTTTGTCATTGTACTTTTGATTATCATTATTCTCATTGCCACTATGCATCCCTTGTCAAATGATTCTTGGAGCTTTCTTTTGGTCAAGTAGAGTTAATGTCATTTCTTTCTGTGCTGAATCAGAGTTTTTCAAGTCGCCAGTGTTAAGGCTGAATGGAATCACATCAAAACCCTCCCCGACTTATCAGGCACAGGTATAGTCTTCCTCTTTTTTTCTAGATGGGTTTTTGACTATTTCTGTTGCATGTGTTTATAAGGGTAATAATAGTCATTGCTGTCGTCTAATGCAGGTAAAGCGACATGTCTGAAATTTGGTCCAGATGCAAAGTACATAGCTGTCGGATCTATGGACCGGAATTTAAGAATATTTGGGCTGCCTGGCGAAGATCAAATGGAGAGTTAGGCTCATTTCCAGCATGAAAGCAAACAGTCAACGCCACAGCTTCGCATCTGCTGAAGACCACTGTATTTTCTCTAGGGGGAAGGTTGATGGGTCCCGTTCTTTAATATGTAATTCTTCTGGTTTATGCTGGATCTTTGGGTGGGCTGGCTAATAGACATACCATCAACTTGGGATAACATCCGAAGTGCAGAGTTTATTTGGTCATCTCAATACCATCCTTGGGTAGTCTATTGTATCATTGTTGTAACCATTGCCTATCCTGGGAGCAAAAGTCTGAATGGAAATGATCAGTTACAGTACATTGAGATGTCAAGTTAGTAGCTAAAGAGCAGATATTGCATATATTTATGTTTTCCGACTGGGACATTCAAGTTACCAATTTATCTAATACGCTTTTTACCTGATTTTCACCCATGTTAACAAGGTACTGATTCAAATTCTCTGTTGTGTTGTGGCAGGTTTCTGAGAAGCATGTACTTTTTTCTTCTTTTTACCTTTGTCAGAGGAAATATTATGTCTGCGAGTAGGTCATGGATGTCAAATTGGGGAGCTTTTTTAAAATTTTGTTTTCAAATATCTATTTATAGTTTTTAGTTATTTTGGGCAGATTTTGAAAATAAATTTTCAAATCCCAAAAACAACTCTAGAGTGGTTTTTGAAATTTCTGAAGCTTTAGTCACGGAACTTCAAATTCTTTTAAATGTATGTGCAAATGTAATTTCAACTTTTAAAAATTATTTTTCATCTCAATCTTTAAAAATTTATTTTTTTGAAATTTTAACCAAATTTATGTTCAAACGCTAACTTAGAAACAACAAATAACTGTTCACAGCTTCGATTAAATACTGCTGACAAGGCTTTCATATTGGTCGTGCTTGCAATCTTTTTATTCCATTGGATACCCGCTATTCTCCACCGGCATAGGTACCACATAACTTTGCCTATCAAAACTTTGGTAAAAGGGAAGAGATTATCTAAGTTTTTAAGTTGTCTCTACTAGGATTTGAACATCAAAATTTTTACCTACTTCATTAACAGCTAGATTACACATTTGGATGCATTGATTGTGTTTGCGAGGTAGACTGTCCACTTTATGGGTTTTGGTTTGGAGTTTTGACACCTTTGTAAACTTATTATAACAAGTTCTCAAATCTCCAACGCCACGCCTTTTCCAATCAGAAATGTGATTTTCTAACGCTTCGTTGTGTAGATAATAGAATTTGAACATTGTTCAACAGGTTATATTGAGTGCTATAATTACAGCAGTAACAAAATGCACAATGTAAAATGCTGAATCAATATTCAGAAGAAATAATAATAACAACTAGAAAGCCTCCCCTGGCTAGAAGGATAAAGAATGTGTATATGCATATCAACCCACAATTGCTAAAATCTCACTAGGCTACAACTAGCCCATGTACAACAGGAAGCCTCTAGTATTATAAGAGGAGGAAACTGCTTCATGGACATGAAAGAATAAATAATTGTGTACTCCCAATATATAGCTATGAAATAAATTCATAAAAATTCATGCTTCGGATGTGGCGAGGTAACGGGATGCGTGTGTAAAACCCCATAGCTGCATCAAGAAGAAAAATAAAATGTCGAAGAATTTATACAAATATGTCATCAGTTTGATACCAAATATGCAACGTCCCCGTCCTAGAATAATACATTTTTAGCAAATTTGAACCAACTTATAACTAAGCCATGCGATAATATTATTTAAGAACATTATTTTGACTTCTGCAAACTGCCCATATACTTGAAACAACTTTATAAATAATCTATTTTTTTTTCCTACAATTATTCATCGTTGTTTCTCTTATGATATGACCCTTAAAAGTACAAATGAGAGCAATACACAATTTATTCTTTTCTTGTTTCCGCTGATATGTGCCTTGTCACATCAGTTAAAAGTTAACCTCCTAGAGTTTTGGTTCTCAAAATTGAAGCAATTAAGAATCTCCCCTATTATCCTTCAATCAGTCCATCAGCGATGTTTGATGTTTCAGTCCCTAAGTAATCCTTTATATCTATTTCGCTATATTGCTATATTTGGGTCCATTTCGTTTCAGTATTGGTAAATAATTTATTCTTAAATGCAAGTTAACACTTCTCTAAATCTCACACTTATACCTACACTGATATGTAAAACTCTAACCAAACTAAAAATACTAATCGCAAACATCAAACACAATGTAAGTAAAGTAACAACAAACAGCTAAGCACCAATCCTTATCAAAGCACACAACGAATTTCTCCTTTCTTTGACACAGAACATTACCTCAACATTCCTCAGTTCAAACTCTTGATCATGTGCCAAGAATGAGTTCCCAAATGTTTCACAAGGTCCACTACTGCCAAATAACCTTCACAGAAAATTGCAAATAAAAAAGGAAGAAATTTGCAAGCAACATTATATAGGGCAACGCAGAGAAACTACAATGTATATGCCAAGGCAGAGAAACTCACAAATCACCATCCAAGCTTAAAGCAAAATTTCCACCACCTCCAAGTGCGAGGACGTCATTCAAACACAAGTAAAAATATCTATTGGCACCTAGTCCAAAAATAACAAAAGATTAGCTAATGTCTACACCATTTCATGGATTACTTCAGATCAGAATCCTTGGGATTTTCTACAAACTATATACAGTGACTTGGCTCATCTATCAAAATGGGTATACAAAGCTCATCTTTTATGTTAAGTTCCCATAGACAAGCTTTGATGTGGACTGAGCAAGAAGATTTATCAGAAAAATGCTTAATGGAAACATGATCAGTCTCACTAGGACATTGAAATTTATGTTATTTTATTTTGTATTTGACGGACTGGTAGTTGCAACATATGTTAGAGCAATTTAGATAGAGGAACAAAGTTAAGTAGCATAAGAACTCATTTTGAATTAACTCTTACTCCTCTCTCCAAACAAAAAAGAAGTACGAAAAAATAGAGCAAAAAAGATCATATGTGGAGATTGGAAGAATGTCATCAAAGGTCACAATAAAGGATTGTGCCAGGCGTTCAACTAAGGGTAACATCTTAATCTGCTGATAATTTTCACAAAGAATTAGACTTAAGATATGTTTATCACCGCAATTTGCCAGTGACAGTACACAGTACCTAACCAGCAGTCGTTTTTCATCAGAGAAACCAACTATGTTGAAAGGAGGAAACCAGGTCCCTAGTAAGAATGTAATGTTGCAACATAATAAACTTGAAGGTGAAACGTAATAAAACTTTCTAAAGTTTGACGCAGGTCTTTGACACGCATCTATGATGTTGTGCTTGGTTGGGGTTAAAAGAATAGAGGGGAAAGGGTTGCTTCTCAAGTTCATATACTAGCGAAGGAAACTTCCAATCTGTCCAAGCCTTGGTGGACAGAGTTACCCGATACCTGTGCAGCTATGCTGGTGGGAGGTAGAGGTACCCGTGGAATTAGTCGAGGTGCATGCAAGCTGGTCCAGAGAGACCACCGATATAAAAAATAATGGCCTCTATCTCCAACCATAAAAGGAAATTTTCCTCAGACAAGTCACGGGGGGCAAAATAACCATATATTGGAACAGCTCGAAGAGCCTTTCTATATGTAATGTTTAAACAAATTGGCTTATGTATTTAATCGTGATGGCTCATAGTTAATTCAAGCCTGCAGTTTCTCTTAAATATAAATTTTCAATTACTGCTTTATACAGACTGATATTGTAACAAACATCCGGACAATTTGCTTACCTGTTGGTCTAAATAACCTTGGTTCACCATATAGAGTTGTGAATACAAATGTTTGATTTGTTCCCTGACACAATAAAACAGAAATTACATTAGCATTGAAAACAAAACCAAAACTAGGTGACGATTAAAAAGGCAGATATTGGCATTTGCTTTTTAATCCTTCATTTGGGGTGAAGGGGTTCTGAAACCCCTTCTTGCATCAAGTCGATTACCAAGAGTAATACAAACTGGTGTTTTTCTTTTTGAAAATTACTGCATCATTATATTATATCAGTTAAAGAAAATCAAATACTGCATGTGATTGCTTTATTACTTGGTACTTCCTCTTAGCAGTAGGCCTCAACGGTGCCTCAAGCAACCCACCAAATACAGCACCCTGCTTATCACCAGTAATCTGAGACCAACATTATTAAGAAAATTCATTTTCAAAAGAAGAAAGAGATGCTTTAAAATTGCTAAAGAATTGGGATTGCATGCACGGCAAATATTTATAGTAATTTAGGTGAAAATACCAGCAAGCAAGGACCAGAAACATCGGCACTCCTCCGAATAAGAGTACGAAGTGATATACCATGTCTGGCCGTGCTGCCCTTCATTCAAATGAACAAAAATAGATGTTAATACTCAGGCTACCAAAATTGCAATAGATGTCACAGTAGAAACTATTTTAAGGTCAAGATTACCTATATAACAAGACCCATTGACAACCTTTCGCTATATTAGGAAGGGAAGACTGGAAAAAATCATATAAATCCGGAGTAATGAAAACAGAATCGGTGGTTAGATAGGCCATGGACTGCTCAAAACTGTGTCTATCCGGAGCATCTTCAAAAGTTTCGGAACCGCTGACAATGCTACTTGCGGAATTAGGCTCTCCATTATCCCTGTCAGTATTTACTGTTTCCTTCTTTACACAAAGTGAACTCTTGATGCAGCCATTTTCACCTTCTTCTGGATAAACATTCGGTATCTCTTTGTAATCATCGTGATCCTCAAAATCATCCAGAGGTTTATTGCGCCACGAGAAACTTTTAGTTCTCCACGTAAAAGAATGTGATTGAAGTGGTTTGACATCATCTCGATATCTTATATTCTCAGAATATGTCGATGGGAGAAGAAAAGAAAGTATAGATGTTACAGATTTTCCTTCCTTAGTATATGGCCTGGCCTAAACACAGAGAGAGGTAATGTTACAAATAATGTGCACTGCATAGAACAACAAATCTCTTATTGCAGAAAAAGGAAGGGAAACACAATGTAGAGCTTCTAATTTTTTCCCAACAACAATAACAATAACATACCCAGTATAATCCCACAAGTGAGGTCTGGGGAGGTTAGTGTGTACACAGACCTCACCCCTATTTTATGAAATATTTTAAAATACAAAAGAATAAGAAATAAGAACAATGTAGCATAAGTAGTTCACTCTTCCAGCAGGAAATGCAAACTCTATTTGCATATAATATAATTCTATTAAATGTAGCAGCTGAAAAATGCTACTCAATTTAGTGGCAAACTGCTATAAACAAACTTGAGCTTGAACATCCTGTGTTCTTTCTTGTTAACTTTTTATCTCATAAATATAACAAGTGCTTCATATTTTGCAACCGCAAAATAAACAGCCATGAAGCAACTAACTGAATCCTTAGACGTCGTTTAAAGTTATCTTTTTTCCTTTCTTCTCTTTTTCAGTTACTAAATTAACTTCATGCACAAATTCCTTAGACATGATATATAGTTTTCATCATTTTTCTAAATTTTTTTTCTAGTTACCTATTTCATGTTCATGTACAAATTCCTTAAACATCATTTAAAGTTCTCATTTTTTTTTTCTTTTTCTTTTTTCAGTTACCCATTTCATAGTCAAGTAAATTCCTTAAACAACATATAAAGTTTTCATCTTTATTTCTTTTTTCTTACTTTTTTTTTCCAGTTAACCAATTTAGTTCATGCACAAACTAATCAGCCCAACTGACAGATCACCAAAACTTAACACTGCCACCAGCTCAATTCACATATAATGGTGAATAAAAAAACAAACTTTAACTCCACATAAAGATCAAAGGTAAACATTCATAAACCAAAATCACACAAGATTCATTCAACAGTTTAAATTCTAAGAAAGAGAAAGAGGAAAAAGAACCTGAGTTTGTTGATCAACAGATTTAGAAGGGGAAGCTGAAAATAGACTTGAAAGTTTCTCAGAAACTGTATCTTTTATGGAATGCATAGCTCTTTTTCTTTCTTTCTTTGTTTTAGCCTCTAACCGAATTCAGAACCTTTGAAATTGAGAACAAAAACTGAGATATGAAGGGTTAATTTCAGACACCCAAATGCAGAAATTCGTTGAATACGGCAATGTGAAAGGAAAATGGTTTTTTTACTTGGGTTGCATTTGGATTTTTGGGATCTTGTGGTGGTGATCTGAGAAGCTGAAAAAAAGAGAGGAGAATGTGCACAGCACCGACGGCTTGTAGTAACAGCTGAAAAATTAGAACAAAAAAGATTTTTTTTGTTAAAATTCTTTTCACATAATTTAGGGTCAATTTCACCATTTTCCGGTTTTTAAATTTTGGACGCGTACTTAGCTAAGTATTACTTGACTTTTGACGGTAAGGATATGATAATCCCAACTATTAATGGAAAACAAGTACTCCTAGTATAAATCAAATTTAACCCTTTGTTCATTGGAAAATAAGAAAGCTGTCCAATTTTGAATTTTAGACAAGGATATTCTGATCTTGACTCAGTACCGACATTTTTTTTCTCTGACTTTGACTAGTTGGTGGGGGTAAAATAGGGTGGAAACAATTTTTTTCTTTTGAAGGGAAAAACATGATTTTGGAATATAATTTTATAAATTGGTCATTGTTATAAAATAAAGACTATAAAAGAAATAAGCTGAAGACAAGTATAGACGGAGATTGATATTTTATTCAACTTTCAGAGTTATATTCATAATGAACTAAAAACTCCTCTATTTATAGAAGAAAGGAAGCAGCTGCGAAACTTTTCAGGAAGCAGCTGCGAGGCTTTTCTTTAGCTGCTTGTAAGTTGTCTGCATGAGCTGCTTGCAACCTGACTGTTTAATAAGAAACTGCTGCAAATCATTTCATTGAGTTGCTTGCAACCTGCCTGCATCAACTGCTTGTAGATAAATTTCAACAGAGTATTAAATGGATAATCTTCTTCAGGAAGATTATCTATAGCGGAGTAATGAATGGACATCCACAATATAATATTTTCATAACACTCCCTCTTGGATGTTCATTAAAAGATAATGTGCCTCGTTAAAATCTAACTAGGAAAAATCCAGTAGAAAAAAACCTAGTGAAGGAAAAAGAGTACACATATTTAGTAATACACATTTCTAGCCGCCTCATTAAAAACCTTACAAGAAAAAACCCATGGAAAAAAACCTTAGTAAGAAAAAAAGAGTACAATGTGTATTTCACTCCCCCTGATGAAAATCTTGTTTCAAATATTTGAATCTCTGCATTCCAATCTTGTATACCATCTTCTCAAAAGTTGAAGTTGGCAAAGGTTTAGTGAACAAATCTACCGGATTGTCACTTGAACGGATTTGTTGCACATCAATGTCACCATTTTTCTGAAGATCATGTGTATAGAATAATTTTGGTGAAATGTGCTTCGTTCTATCTCCTTTTATAAATCCTCCCTTTAATTGGGCTATGCATGCAATATTGTCTTCGCATAAAATTATGGATCTTTTATCACATTCCAAACCACATTTTTCTTGAATAAAATGAATCACTTATCCCGACCATACGCATTCCCTGCTTGCTTCATGAATAGCTATTATCTCAGCATGATTTGAAGAAGTAGCAACAATTGATTGCTTTGTGGAGCGCCATGATATGACAGTAACTCCACATGTAAACACGTACTCGGTTTGAGATCGAGCTTTATGGGGATCAGATAAATAACCTGCATCTGCATAACCAATAAGATCTGTACTACCTTTGTTAACATAAAACAAACCCATATCAAGAGTTCCCTTTAAATATCGCAAAATATGTTTAATCTCATTCCAATGTCTACGTGTAGGAGAATAGCTATATCTTGCTAGTAAATTAATAAAAAATGTTATGTCAGGCATTGTAGTATTAGCAAGATACATAAGTGCACCAATTGTACTGAGATAGGGTGTTTTAGGACCAAGGAGTTCCTCATCCTCTTCCGGAGGTCGGAACGGGTCCTTATTCACTTCAAGTGATCGAACAACCATTGGTGTATTTAATGGGTGCACTTTGTTCATGTAAAAGCGTTTTAAGATATTTTCTGTATAGACAGATTGATGGATAAAGATACCATCTGCTAAATATTTAATTTGTAGCTAAGACAAAGTTTTTCCCTTTGGAGCTCTTCTGGAGTTCCTATGAGATTTATGTCATTAACATAAACAACACGTATAACAAACTCTAATGTTGTTTTCTTTGTAAAAATGCATGGACAAATGCCATCATTTATATAACCTTCATTCATCAATTCAGTGAGGCGATTATACCACATGCGCCCTGATTATTTTAAATCATACAAAGATTTTTATAAAATGATTGAGTACATTTCTCGAAACTTTGAATTATATGCTTCAAGAATTTTAAATCCTTTAGGAATCTTTATATAAATTTGATCAAATGAGTCATATAGGTTATGACTTGCATCTAAATGGCATGACATCTTCAAGTGTCTGGACTACAGGTCTGATCCTTATAATATTGTGCACTATATTATATCAAATATATCGTCGACGATCATTTGTATCAGTTCGCAAGCGACATAACTTGTTGAGATCTCATCACTTTATTTATTTTCAGGTATCTGAACTTCTTCTAGAGTTCCATGAAATATTATATCGTGGGCTCTTCCAGAGCTTATTCCCTCCTTATTATGATCATTTGCTCCTATCCTTTTCAAGGATTGTTACCTTTGGAACGGATCGGTTTACTACGCTTCATGCGTACGATAAACTTTATCCTTCAGGGACTTTAATTTTAATAGGAGCATTTGCAGCTGAAATATTATATTTAATTTTAAATCAGCAAATGCTTCTGGCATTTGACTTGAATTATCTTTTAAGCAAGGATCATATTAATGATAATTCGATTCATATAGCATATTTTTCAGCTATTTTATTCCATCCCCCAAATGTTAGAAAAACTAACTCATATCCCTAATCTTCTTTGAGAAATATATCTTTGTGCATTGTGGTAGAGAAATTAATCATATACCATGCACCAAAAGTTATTAGATAGTAAAGATATTTGATTTTTGATCCTAAACCAATTGTGAGGGGAGGACTTATCATATTTTGTTGGTTTGATGCATACAAGTGATGTTGTATGCAATTTAAAAAATCTTAGACCAACACATGAGACTTTGTTCTCATAAGTAATAATTTAGCCATTAATAGGAGGTATTCAATGCTAAATTAGTTTGGATATAAACCAGCATCATTAAGATGAACTATCTTGATTTCATAATCTAAAAATTATGCTCTTAATTGAGAAAGATAATTTTAAATACCAAACTGCAGGTTGACAATAAATATACATGTAACCATCTTATATATGCATCTATAAGTGGTTCACATGATGGGTGAATGAGCCCATATTCATATTTTATATATTCCAGAATTCGGAGAATTTAGTCCCAACTTTAGCTGGTATAATCAAGCTATTATGAGAACAAGCAACAAAGGAGAATTCTTGAAGAATCTTCTAGTTTTTCAGTATATGCTTATCTGAATTCTCAAATAGCTCATTTAAAAATGGCAAATAAAAACTTCAAGTTTATCATGGCATGTGCTATCTCTTAGTAAATTTTTGGTTTACGATGGCATAAACTTTTGTATGAGTAAACTTCTGATTTACTGTTGTTATTTTTGTATCAGTAAATTTCTGGTTTGCAGTAGCTACTTTTGTCTCAGTAAAACTTCTGATTTACTGTGACTGTTTTTGGATTAGTAAACTTCTGATTTACTGTGATACATGATATAGTACAAATTGAAGAATAAGGCTGGTCGCTTCTCACATACATATTATTTTACCCCCTATGATTATGGAAATATGAAGATTTTCAATCTTTCAGTCATTTGTAGTCTCAATATGATAGCCATTTGTATTAGTAAACTTTAGGTTTACTACAACATATGTTTTGACCATAATCATATAATATGAATGACATATTTGTATATAAGCTCTTCGAGAGCATTCATTTATTATCCACAATCTAATATTTATCACACACTACTAGTGTCATGTGTCTTCTAGACAAACAGTTAGCTCTTCAGGAGTTGTTGATATATTTTGTACTATCAAATATTGCTCAGAGACTTCTGGTATCATGAGAGAAAATCATAATTAAATAAATAATATAAAATAATTATTTAAGTACAAGAATACACCTCTTCATAATATTTTCCTACTTCATGAGGAAATTTCAATTGTGTTACTTCTTCAGGAGCAAATTTAAAATACGAAATATTGAGTATATATTCTCTTAATCATATTAACTCTTCTGGAGGTGAATTGTAATATATTTACAACAAGAGTGCGTTCATATTTACGACTTTATTAATATTATCACATTCACTTCAGGGAATAGATTAATATTTATCAAAAATTCTCATCCTTCAGGAAATCGAATATAATTATCTGAACGCGCATTAATCACATCAAATTGTGATGCTTCAATCTCTTTTAAAATATTTACTACTTCATGAGCAAATCTAGGTGTGCATGTAATATATAGAATATTTCTCTAGCTTATCTTTAATTGTAACCATAGAAAACCTAAATTATCACTTCTGGTGGTCATAGGCATATACCACTTCTGGTGGTCATAGGCATATACCACTTCTGGTGATTAACAAAATTTAGTTACAATGAGATATACGAAATATAACCACTTCTGGTGGTTGTATATTTCTTGCAAACTCTGTTGGAGTTTAAGTGGATCTAACAATGTTATCCACTTTGTAATCCTTTATTAAGATAATAAAGATGAAATAGGTATTGTATACGTAACATATAACCAAGCAAGCGATGATAAAGATATTAAAATATAAGCAAAAGGCTCAAATTAAATTACGCAAATACGGCCACTCCATATGTAAGTGATATCTACATCACTACTGTCAAGAAGAAAAACTCACCACCTCAAGGATATAATATGCCTTATGATGCTCAGAATGAACAAGATGTGACCACGGACATAAGAGTGTCGCCTTACATCGGAGATGAACACTAAAATAGAAATTAAATTTGATGTAAGTGCTCAAAATGGCAGAGTCTCGTGCTGATAAAGTGTTATAAAATAAAGACTATAGAAGAAATAAGCTGAAGACAAGTATAGAGGGAGATTGATATTTTATTCAACTTTCAGAGTTATATTCATAATGAACTGAAAACTCCTCTATTTATAGAAGAAAGGAAGCAACTACGAAGCTTTTCAGGAAGCAGCTGCAAGGCTTTTCTTTAGCTGCTTATAAGTTGTCTGCATGAGCTGCTTGCAACCTGCTTGTTTAATAAGAAGTTGGTGCAAATCATTTC